CTTGGATTCTTATTACGTATAAAGTAATAAAGCATGAAAAAGGTAGGATTTCAGATGATGAAAGGAGATTATCAAGTCAAAACTTGCGAAATAAATTTCCAAAGGAATAAAATAGTTTATTTAAAAAGCATTAGCTAAAAGGGTGTTGAGAACTGCCACTAAGGAATCTAGACAAGTTTTGCTGTTTAAGAACCAAGTTTTGGGTAGAATTGAGCCTTGTTAAATTGAAATAAAGTCTTCCAAATAACAGAAACTTTTTAGAATGATAATGATAAAAGCAAGATAATGACCTTCGTGTTTGAGATGTGGCAATTCGATAGTATGCTTTTAATTTTAATTGACTGTACGCAAATATTAGATTTAACAAAAAGTCGAGACTGAAGAGCTTGTAATATAAACATGTCGGTAAATAGTGCTCTGCAGACATGATAAGTGGAAAATTATTACAGACAAGATAAAGGAGTTTTAGATAGGATAATAGATGATAACAAATTAATTAAGCCATCGGAAACTTCAGTAGTGTCTCGGTGAGAGTAGAGCTTACGAAATTGACGAAATCAGAGGATAAAGAATAAAAGATATAAGCTCAATTTTCATCAATTCGATATTTAAATTCAAACTCAAGAAATGGCAGATATTAGAGCAAAATGTTGAAGTAACTTTTATTTCGTTTGAAGAGGCGAGTGGAAGGGATTCGTAAGTTGATTTCATTGGAGGCTGTGGGGTTGTCTTGGAGCTGTGGTTGTAGATTTGTGTGAATAGGTCCTCGGCGAACCGCCCTGTGACTTCGATGAATCCTTGCTGAGCTTTCGTCCGTGATGTGACGGACATCGTCAGAGCAGGACAACATGCTTAATCATAATTCACCAAAAACACGAAGGCAAGAAATGTGGCCGGCTTCAGACTTACTTACTTCTTATATTTTAATTTGTTCCACTTATGCATCTCATGTTGCGGTTGGATGTCCTAAGCTTTGCCTCTATACTTACTCATAGGTTAAGTTAAGTGGCTGCGGATGACACGTCAAGTGGCTGCAGATGAAGCATGAATGAGTGCAGTTGAAACCGAACAGCTGTATACTCCCTTAAAACACTTGTACCTTTAATTCTGCAATGTTACCGCATGTGATTGCGTCCCATTTCACGCGTGCTGTGTGATTGCATTGGATTGAAGTGAGTGTGATGTGAGTCAGAACCAAATCCCAGCCTAGTCAAGCTTCTCCCTCTTAGCCGGTGGTACTTCTCGTTACCCCCTCCCTCTCTCTGAACCTATCCAATAGCCACAAGTAGTTTCCGCTTAACTCCCTACACTAATTCCTTCTATTCGGGGTGTTGGCCGTTTTGTTGATTTCTATCGCCTCCCTAACCTTTCGCCTACTAATATAGTCTCATATCCAGCTAAGCGTCTGGCATTAGCCCAATTTATCTGGTGTCCTGTGCGAGCCACGTGTTCGGCCAATTCCGATTTTTGGGCCCGCATACCCTTGCAGGCTGTTTTGTGCTCGAATAACCTCTTACGTATGGGTTGACAGGTCTCTCCAACATAGGCACCACCACATGAACACAAAATCGTATAACAGCCCGATATGCTCATTACTTTCCCTCAGACATTTTTTATTAGCCTTTGTCTTGATTCCTATATTAAACTTCCCAAGTTTCTTATCATGTCTGAATTTAACCTGCTGAAAAACGATATCATGCAACTTGTCCGCCATTCTTTATAATTTAGATCAATCTTTCTTGCCTTCGTGTTTTCATTGAAGTATAGTTAAGCATGTCCTGATCTGATGATGTCCGTCACATGACGGACCAAAGCATAGCAAGGATTCATCGGGATCGCGAGGCGATTCGCCGAGAACCTTTCGCCTAAATCTACAACCACAGCCTCCGATGGAATCAATTTACGAATCCCTTCCACTCGCCTCTTCAAACGAAATGAAAAGTACTCCAACATAAATCTATTAAGGGATTCTTCCAAACCCAATTTTTCTACATACTAGAACAAAAGGCTTCCATCAATCCATATAATATAGGCTCAATGGTAAAGAAAATAATTCCTACGCAGAGAAAAGTTATTTATCGAGACTAGTGTAAAACTTGGGGATAATGGAATAGGAGCTGATATCTTACATGATTAAGAAGTTGGAAGTTATCTTGTTTGCAAAAGGGACACATCCAGCAACCAGTAAGGTCATTTTTGGTTGGATTCGCCGCATCAGATTGTTCCTGTCTGGGACGGCGAGTAGCAACGCCGACTACTTGAACATCAAGCAATCGCCCCACGTAAAGAGTGTCGGGTGTCTCGTGAGTAACCATAGAAAATATTTCCTCAGGTGTAGGTGGTTGGTATACTGTACGGAAATCTCGATAGCGATGATTGAGCTCTTTGCGAATATCATAAAGCGTGATATGTTTATCCCCATGGTCCTGACGCTTTAACTCATCGGCAAACGCATCCAGGTCAAGTTCACGAAGACGCTCAGGGCTGCAAAATAGAGATATACAAGAAATTTATTAATAATGGTTCATTCAAATAATCACTTAATAAAAGAAAATGCTTTAATTCTAGTAAAATAGTTCAGTTAAATCATAAATAAAAATAATTAATAAAAAACGATAGAGCTCGACTTAAAGGAGTGCACCTAGTCCGGAGTCCATAGCATGCATCATGATTTCCAGGTTAGGACCGTGGACGTGGTACATGTACCACGTGGGAATGTACCACGTCCACGGTCCTACTCTGGAAATGATGATGCAT